TCAGAGCAAGAATCTTTACTTTACGAAAAACATATCAAACCACCTTTTCTTTTGGTTTATTGTATTTTTTGAGCTATTTTGTAAGATATGTATTCTTTATCTGTTGATGTATGTCGTGAAGACGACAGATGGAGGGTAGGCACAGATTCATCAGCGTCGCGGGACGGTGAGCCGAGGACTTGTTCGCACAATCCAACAGTCCACTCCGCGGCAATACTTCTTCAGTCTCTGATGATGCCCTTTCACGAATTCTTACCAACCCATTTATCCCTCGAAATGGAAAGTTATACAACAATATATCGCTAAAGGATTCTCAGAAACCCAATTTTTCTTCATATCTTATATTGGTAGTGCGTCGCCCCAGATTACAATCCAATTTGGAGGGCTAGTTAGACCCGGGCGAGGTTGATCTTGCAGTCTTCACTGTAGAATCGTAAGACCTTTTGTTAGACGGGGCTAAATAATGTTGAGGCCTATCCATCGTATTGTTGAAGAAGCTTCGCCGTCAGCCCTCAGAGCATCCTGAGCGACATAGTGGCTCTTATCTAGTGTCGCGAACTACTCACATCGAAAATAAGTAGCTCCGACTTTGACGTCAAATTCATGCTTGCTATATCGACAATTTCCCTATTAATGCGGTTTCGCGGAATAGTATCGTGGAGCCTACTCATCTGATTGTATGAGGGTTAGACCATTGGTCCTTGTGTCACCTTTGGCGGGATAGGCTGATAGAGTCCCAATTAAAGACTTTCTAATAGTCTACAAAAATAATTATAACCGAAAAGAGTGTTGCTGATGCGATTCTGTCTTGCTGCCTACTTTCGCCTTAGCTTGATTAACCACGTGACTGTGGGCTGCAAATGATGGGCAAATCAGGTCACCTCGTTCACGCACTACTCACCGTTCACGATGAGGGGCAGACACGATACTTAGTGGCTTTGGTCGTCTCTTGGATCGACTAGTTGATGCTCATGTTGGCTGTATTCGGCTCTTCCGTTGAGCGTCTGAAACCAAACTTTTTATCGGCTTCCATTGGGGACCAGGCTTCGGACAGGTTGGTGTAAAACTTCCCTAAGACATGCGTCCTGGGTCGCGGAAGCCTACAGGACGACGGAACAGTCGGTGAAAACAGATACGAGACAAGCGAGCTTGGAGGAGGGCGGAGGCCGCGAGGTTGTTGCACACAACTTGGATGGCGTTGATGCAGATGATCAACGTAGACGGACAGAGTTTATCAGCAAGGCAGGGAGTCCTTGTTGAGGGGTGCGGCAAATTGGACACCAAGTTAACACAATAAGCGGCAGTTTCTGTTTGCAACATGAAGGGGAAACCCAACACATGCTTGTATGAATATATGCACACATGCATATCTGTATGTATGTATGCATGTATGTATGTGTGCATGTATAGATTGATGGATGGAGGTATGCTGGCCAACGGAACAATGATATCTCAGCTTTCAGCTCAACAACTTCCTGACCCTCGATCCATAGAAGGGTCAAGAACTGGGAGATCTCCAGTTAGGAGAGGCACCAGCTTCAATGTCAATTACTGCCAGCCTCTACTTTCTTATCTTCGTTGCCTACGTCAGAGACGTGGACTCTATTCTCTTACTTGGAAGATTCTTTGCTAGATCTGGGCA